CTGACACCCAGATCCTGACTAACTAGCTAGCTGCACGGTACTACATCAAACAGAATCCCCCTGCCAGCTTTAGACAGACAAACCATCTGTACCTAAAAGCATTACATTTCCATGGGGTGGGATATCATTGCAGGGAGGTGATGTGCAAACATGTACAAGGGACAGAGATTCTCGGTAAATATTTCCCTTGGAAATTCCCATCTCAATAGGCCACCAAATAAAGCTACTTCACCTACCATGAGACTCTGCAACATAGTATTTGTTCCTCTTTCCTTGTTGCTGGCTGACATGGGCTCTCCAGGCCCTGAACGTCAAATTGCAGAGTAAATGCCTGAGAAATGAAAAACTGCCATTCAGTGAAATAGCTACTAAATGCCCTAGGGTAGGATTCTTTCCAGTTCTGTTGCACTCTAAAGATATACTGGATAGGAAAAACAAAGATAAGCAATGGAGACATTGCTTCTGGCCTAGAGGTACTGTTGATGTAATTTGCTCACTGGTGTTAGTAACTCCTTCAGAACCTAAAGAAAATTTCTTATACACACAATAACAGGAAGTCATTTCACAAACCTGTGATGGTTGTCTGCTCTGAGGCTGAGCTTTCTGTCTCTGCAAACAGTCCACCACTCCTTCCACTCTCCAAAAGCTCTCTGAAGAATCTTCTGGTCATATAAGCATCTAAACAGTTGAAAGATTTGGACATATGAAAGTTCATACAGGCTTCCAGGTTGACCACAAATCAGTTTTAATGAAGATTATGCTACCTTTTTTCCAGCCTTGTCTGATTAGCCTAACAGTATCTAATTGCATTTAAATACCACTATCCTACTGTGACACTTTATTCCAAGACTTTGTGAAGTATGACAAGAAGCAATCAGCTTACTGACCATAAATACTTCACAAAAAGTCAAGGAAGGAAAGACACATGTTGCTGATCACCAAGTATCAGAGTGCCAGTTGACTTTGGACCTATGAATAACTCGCATCTCTTATCCTCAGTTCTGTGTTTTACGCAGACCACCAGCACAATTGATAATTACACACGTATTTTCCTTGCTGATTTTGTTCTTTGTTAAACACAAAATATTTTATGTATAGAAATAAATACAAAAGCTACTTCAGCTTTTATAACGCTTGGATATTTCCCTTATGTTCTTAGAAACAGCTGATCTTAAGTAATCCTAAATTTAAAATCTTCTTAAAGAACACTTAAATAGGCTTAAGAACTCCTTCAGCTAGTTGCACATCACCAATAAAAACAAAGCTGTTCATCTGCTCATGTACCTTCTCCTTCCAATGGCTGCTAAGCCACGCACAAAATGGATTCACGAGTCACAGATGACTTTCAAACTCTTGAACCTTAGTAGAGCAGTCTCTGCTTCTACACCCAGATTTCATTACCACACAGCTGACCATGTAAGAAGTGATGCTACATTTAAACTGATTTATGAACAACTAAAAATTAAAATATAGGAGGGTCTCCATGAAGGAATTAGGATTTTGATCACCTAACTAAAAATAATGGTCATAATCTACTACTTCAAGCAATTTGTGGAGTTTTTTAATTTTAAAATATTTTATCAAACATTTTTCCCTGTGATCAAGATGACCTGGGCAGCAGCCTAAGAACTGGAAATTCTCCTCAACAGGAGTACAAATACTTTCAAAAACATTCTTCTGTTTTATGATAGAGAGCAGGAAAATAGAAGGACCCATGAAAACATACAAGCTAACAAACAAAAAGCAGACAGACTCACAACCTTCGATCACAACTACCCCACCAGCTTAATGAAGTTGGTCATGTCTGTAGCAACAGGATTAGGCCCAGAATACCCAGAGATCCCTCAGTGAAACACATCTGAATCCTCTCACAAGTTGCAGTTCAGAGCTACCTACCCCAAGCCAAGTTGCTAAGTCATTCCAAACACTCAAGCAGAAAAGGAAGGGGGAAAAAAAAAAAAAGAAAGAAAAAAGAAATGAGCTATGCGTTGTATTTTTTGGACTTGGTGCATTAACAGAACATTGCAGTTAGGGAGAACTTGGGACTCTGAAGTCTAAAAACACAATTTATTACTGCTTATGTTCCTTGATGAACTTCACAAAATGTACTTTTACTCATCCTTCTAAAAAATAAATAAGAAGTAATCATTGTCCTGAATTCACACACAGCCAAAATAGTGCAAATGCAGTACATGGGATAGCAGATTAGAGGTTCACAGGACAACTTCCATTTAACAGCTAAGGGAGACATATATGTACAGTGTGTTCTGACTACATACGGTCAGATACAGTACAATGAAATTGGGTAACTAAGGGCTTGATCTTATTCTGACTGTAACAAATACAGGTCTTCCCACTGGGAACGGCTGCAGTTTCCAAGGGTGTGGTCAAACAAGAATGAACATGCAAATTAAAGCAAAACAAGAAAAGAGTATCCAAGCGTTGGGTTTCAGTAGCAGACAGGAAGCCAAAACCAGAAACAGATCATCTGTCATAGGTATTTCAGACAGTTACCAAGCATATACAGATACGCATTAAGAACATAGTGCAAACACTTAAAATGAACTGAATTGCAAGATCTCTAGTTGGAACTTTGAAAAATCATTCATGTCAAAGCAGGTATCACAGTCCTACCCCAGCATTTTTATGCACATACAGTTCAACTACATCAAGACAAACACGATTCCTATACATTTAGTTAGTAAAGTTAAATCATGATTATTAAAAACAATCAAAAAGCAGGAGGAAGAAGAGTATTCAGTGGAAACCTTCAAGTGATCTCTAAACACATCCATCCAGGTATTTTCTTTGCAGCCAGTACTCTCTTAGCCCAATGGTACAGCACTAAGCCATAAAAAATTAAAAAAAAAAAAAAAAAAAAAACCAAACCAAAAAAGAGGGGGAAGGGGGAAGAAAAGCCCCCACTCAACTTCTGTAATTTTATCTACCTGGCTTTGGAAGGAAGAACTTGTCCAAATGTCTTTTTTGCCCACACATAGAAGAATTTGCTTGCTAGATACCTGGAATGCAAGGAAAGGTTAGTTGCCTTTGTACTCTGTTAATTCCCAGGCAGCAGTGAAATAAGAACTTTTATGCTAGTTTCAGTAATAAAACCAAGGGTCTGGTTTTCAAAGATCAATGCCTATATGAAATATTTACACCACGAAATTAGTACCTTTAACAGGACTATTCACCAAGCAAAACTGCATCATTACAAGGCTTGCATTGGGACATACTTCTTCAGGAAACCCAGGCTGCTGAAACATCTTCCAAGCAGCCCACTTACACCCAGTGATACTATTGAGCAGGCTGCTGATTAACTGGGGAGCCTTTTTGTGATTTAGAAGCAGTAACATCACGGTTTCCCTGACTCAAGCAGCTGAATCAGACTTGTTTCCAGAGCAGCCAATCTAACGATTACCCATGCCTGAAACCAGCAGCTCTTCCTTCTTCCTACTCGCCCACAGCAGTCCCTCTTCTCAGCCAGCTTCTCCTTGTACCAGTTCAACTCACTATTCTGTGGCTGTGAGGCTGTCACCTTCCCCTCCCCATCCCCTTTTTATTTTCCCAAAGGGATTTAAGAGTTGATTGGCACACAGAGGGCCCCAATAAGCACCAAAGACATCAGGGTAAGTAATAAAAGCACACAGCCATGTACAGCGCCTCCCTCTTTCAGCAGGTCTGAGTTGCTAGATCAGCTCCACTTGTTCAGTTAGTCTTCTCATCTCTAAACAATTGCCATCCCACTTTTGTCAAGATTCCTTCAACAAACAAAAGAAGAAACACAAGAGGAGGGCAAGACTGAATCATTAATCTTTCTACATTAGAAAGTAAAAAATGTATGAAATTTGACTGTGCCAATGCATGTCCTCAGGTTACCACAAGACATCTTCAGAACTGTCTGGCACGCCTGTGAACAAAAACCTTTGCCTTAGCCTGCACTTAAACTACTAAACTGAAGTTCTTCAGGTTTGATCCCCCTGCTCCATTCAGTGAAAATTATGTTTTGTGTTTATCACCTGATTCGAGATTCTTTTACCCTTCTTCTTTGATGCCAGGTACACCAAACTTGATCCAAATTGTCATGACCTCTGTCCTGAAACTGATGTCTGGCAGACTGGGGAGCAAAGGATTGCTCAGCTGTGTGCATCTCATGCCCAGGTAGTTGCATCTTCTGCATCGTCAGAGATTTGGAACTTAAAAGGAAAGAAGAAATATTTTGTGTATAACTACATTAACTGCAAAGAAGTGGCATGATTTCAGTAAGTTAATCTATAACAAAGCTATACAATCACATCTAGAGGTTGATGGCTACGAAATGTTAAAACACATTTTTTATCTCTTTATCAGGCATTTTCCACCATCTAGAATTTTAAGGGTGTTTCTCCAAGACAAGCATATTTCAGTGCAACCATGTCACAGACAATTCCTTTTTCCTCTAAAGTTGAAATGAAAAAGCACTAACAAGCATTTGTGCTTCCCCTCCCATTTGTGTGCATACAGTGTGCCTTTACAAAGATCTGAATATGGTTTTCTGCCTTTTTTTCCTCAAACATACCAACATGTTCTGTGTATTGTTGACAAATTCTCTTGAGGACTAGGGAACTGAAGTGAAAATTACCCATTTTAACATGAAATGCACTTAGAAAGACAGTTATTTTACAAGGAACTCTCTCCTAGTTCTCCTCATATTTTAACTAAATGTGTTGCTTTAATAAAACTAAAAATCCCTTCTTTTTTTTACCTATTTATCATCAAAAAGCAAAATTGGGTCTATTTTCCCATCGTAGGTTACTTTCACACATAGTTCTAATCTGAAAAACAGCAAGTATATTTTTATAAATTCTGAATATTTTGTCTCAGCAATTTTCTGAAAACAAGAATGATAAAAAAAAAAAGATAAAACCCGCTGAACCAGTTGTATTGAAGCTTCTTTCCCAAAACAAATACTGCCACCACCCTGAAAATTTGCACATTAGAACCACAAACACATTCTTAAGCTGCTTAACAGGCAAGAGAAGAGGATAGTCTGAAGTCCCACACTAACAACCACCTGAACTGAGCAAGAAAACTACGGCTACCACCAGAAAAAAAGCACTGATTCCACAGTTATTGAAATAATCCATAGGAATTTTCAGGAGTTCAGCTGAATAACCACTACAGTGTCAAAAACAAATCATTGGGGGTGGGGAACAACAAAACCACAGACACAAAAAATATCTCAGAGAAGGAAATACAGTATTTTGGCTTGCTTCAGCAAGCTGCAAGGAGCTAAACCAAAGCTAATGAAAGGTAACAAGACCTCTATTTTGTGTGAGAGAGAAATTCCTGCTCTCCTATAAAATATTATCTGTTGTCTGAAAGAAGTGGAGTCCATCCAGCTGACAAAATAATTCTGTTCACATCAAGATGACCACTTAAGGCAACTGTATGCACTGCTGAAAAAGTTTCAGATACTTTTAAATATATGCCAAACAGCTTTCAGCATGAGTTCCTGTACTCATGTATTATGCTCAACTCCCTTTAAAACCATCTGATCTGCTCCAAAAGCAAACCTGGTCTGACCATCTGCAATGATAATGGAACACAAAATAATCAAAAAATCAAACTTGGGTAGAAAGGTAAAAGTTTCACATTAAGTTCTGAGGTATGTGAATACCTAATGATTGTCCAACATATGTAATTTTAAACACATTATTCCTAAATTTGAAACACTGTATGTACTACATATATTTACTGATGACAGCCCATGTCCGTAAGAATTTATAGCAAGTAACTAGGAAAAGTAAGACTCAAAGACAGATCATTTATCCCCTGTAAAATTAGAAAATAAATGCATGGGAAGAACAAGAAAACTGACACCACCATGGAATAAACCTGTGGTTGGGCCCGCAGCTATATCCAAACATCTTACGTTCTAGTCTCATACCTCAAGCTCAAGAACATCATTTTTCTGTTTGAATGTTATGATAATGTAAACCCACACAAAGTTGTGTTTAGTGATGGGTTTCAGGGTGGTGTGTTTGTTGTTTTTTCATTTGGTTTTTAAGAGGAACACTTTCTGGTCAATAATGTTTCATAGAGACCCTCATATGAGACCATCTCAACTTTTTTCTGTCTCATGGAATGCTTAAGATGTCATAACTAAAGAAAAAAAAAAATACAGCTGAGGTCATTAACAAAGTAGCATCTTATTCGTGCTCACCCACTTCTGGATATCTCCATTTTGCTCTAGGTGCAAGTCTGTGGTAACCAAATGCACTCTCTGCACTGCAGTGTTGTATATTAGCTCTGGCCAAAGCATAAATTTCTTCCTGTTACTTGTGATGAACCTATCAAACAACCCTATGGTAAATGCAGTCTGTATCTTAACACTGACAGAAATGCCACTCTGTTGACCTTCATACAAATAGCATAATTTAATTCTAGATGTTTAGCACAAAAAGCATCTACCCGTCTGCACACTCACAGCCTTGCTGACTTGAACGACACTGTATTGACATAATCTATTGGTAAGAAAGTCATGAATCCTAAGACAGCAACAGCACCTGCCTAAATAAAGCTGTGCTAGAAATATGCTGTAAGATGACCCTAAGTTATGTTCTCCTATTTAGAAATAACTTCATTACCTAGGGTGGTAAAACCAGTATCTGAACAGACTCCTTTTCACTTTCTTTTCCTAGGCTTCTCTCCTTTCACAGCACACAGAAATGAATAAAACAATTATTTCCACCCAGCTCCAGTACGCGCAGAGCTTTCCAGAGGCCCTAGGGAGAGCAAGACTGTAAGTGCACCTGGACTTACGACCAGCAATCGCCTCCCAAGTGCAAGGTTTGAGGTGTGACAGGAAAAAAAACCCACCAAAACTTACAGCCGTCAACCAGTTTGCCTGCACAAAGTTCCCTTCGACGTATGAGAATTATAACCTGAACGCTTTTTGTGCTTAAGGACTCAAGGACCTCGCAGTGCTGCTCTGAACCCCTCCGCGAGGGGCTGGAGGCCGCGGCAGCAGTGCCGGTCTCCCAGGCCACCCAAGGAAGGAACCGGCCGGCTGCGGTGACGGGCGGGCAAAGGCAACACCAGCACCGCTCCCCTTGGGAGGACCCAGCGGTCCACGGCGGGAGCTCTGCCCTCCCTAATCGAGATGTCCCCGCTCCCGCAC